TAATATCCAGCCCAGATCTCTCCCCTTGGAACCTGAGACCACTGCCAAAGAGCGGAGGGAAAAGTATAAGTTCAAGTAGTATTGTCCCATTTCCCTTTCACGTGGTTTGAACAGATTGAGTAGGTCTTACGCAAACTAAAGACCTGCTCCGAAGATCGGGAAAGCTCACTGGCCTAGAGAACATGTCTTCGTCACAGAGTTAAGTTGGTCTTATCTGGGTGTTGTGTCAAAGCTGCCCTCCCATCCAGAGCTGCCTGGGGGGGAGGCAAGTGGGGCAATTTGCCCCAGCCCCGATGAAAATGTCTGAAGTCTGAGGTCTGAAGCAGGGAGTGCCAGGAAGGGGCCCCCAGAAATTGCTTTGCCCCAGGTCTCCTGGATCCTCTGGGCGGCCCTGCTCCCATCCACACACAAAAACCTCTGGACTGAGCTTAGTGGTACAGGCTGAACCTCTCCAGTCCAGCATTCTCTCGTCCGGCAACATCAATGGTCCAGCATGATTGTAATTAGCTGGATGTCCACTTCTCATGGGTGTGGCTAAGTTTCCCGCAGTCCAATAAAGTTTGTTTACAGCCACCAGTCCTGGCTCCCGTTCTGTGCTGCTGTTTAGCTCGAATTGACCTCGAAATGTCATCTAAGAGCCCAGCAAGCAGTGGAAGGGTTGGTAACGCTGCTAGACAATATCGACCTTCTGTGGCTCGGCAAATTCTCTGGTTTGGCACCAGTCAAGTCCCAAGGGTGCTGGACTAGAGAGGTTCGACCTGAACAGTCAACCTGAGCTGACGGGTAACATGCCCACCCACTTTGCAATGAGGACATAGGCTGAACCACTGTGAGTCCTCCAGTGCTTGCCCACAGTTCTCCCAGGCTGCCCAGAAAGACAGAAAAGCTCTTCCACAGTTCACGGGAAAAGGATCAAAGAGTAGATCCTCTTAGTACAACACAAAGACGCATGGGCTATCGTCCCCCCATCCCCGTGATAATGTGTTTCTCTCTTTTCTTGTTATGTTCTAATGGCCTTCATCTCGGCAATAAAGCTGTTTGCTATGTGGGGAACTTTTCGGAACAAAACTACTTTCTAAAAGAAAACCAGCAGGGAGGATACCCAGTGCTAATTCCATATTATGGGAGAAAGATTCGCAAAACATTTCTGTGTAGCTCTGTAAAGTCCTCAAGCTTTTCTTTACAGGGAATAACGTTCAGAAACTGGGGACTAAGGAATTAATATTAGTTGCTGCTGTCCACTGTATGATACACTGCAGACCTAGAGATTTCCCGAGCTAAACTGCTAAACCAATTATTCTCCTTCCTAGCATAGTAGGTATTTTCAGTCAGGGAGCTCGAGATGTGATACCTGTTAAGTGAAAGTACAGGGTGTGATGTTTCACACGAGGGGCGCAGAACTTTCAGAAATGACTTACAGATGCTTCACAGTCTTCCCGGAAAACTCAATGCACAAGTCTCGCTGAGTTCAAGCCCTAATAATCGTCTTTATATGCAGCGACACACAGGGGAACCATGGACTAAACTCTCTATGCATCGAATTCATATAAGATGGGTTTACGTGCAGGGCTGTTTCAGATATCATTTGTTAACACACTGAAGGCAGGAGTCCAAATCTTCTGACATGATGTGCTAATGCAGAATGCATTAGTACTAACATGAAACTCTAGGACTCTCCTGGCTTTAAAGAGCTGGGGAACATAATCCCCTGCCACTTGTTCATGCCATGACTATAGTTTGTGTATTTTAACATAGCGACTCTCAGGCTTTCATTTCAAACGATTCAGAATTTCATCTTCATAAAAGCTTTTGCTCGCCAGTCCGTTTCCTTTAGCAATCTGGAAAATTCGTATAGTACTGCAGTTCCAGCAACTCCCAAAGTATCTTCTCTGCAAAGTGTCCTACCCTTTCAGCTCCCCCAAAACACTTCCAGGGCATGTCTACGCTGCAATACTATTCCAAAATAGTATCAAAATACTGTCAAGCTGGAGGACTTCTTTGACTCCTGTAACACTCACTGTACGAAGAATAAGGGAAGTCGGAGGAAGAATGCTCTATTTCGAAATCTGTGCTGTGCAGATGTTCTCAATTGTTAAATAAGCTATTTCGAAATAAGATACGCAATTGACACAACTGAGATACGCAATTGAGTTAAGCCCTGAAGTACAGACGCACCCCCCAAAGAGCTTCCCCCTTCCCTCGGCACTTTCTGAACGCCCTGCATCTCAGATGTCATTGATAATGTGCTTTTGGTTTATTCTTTACCCTACTTTGTTCATGCAACTTTGTCCTTTTCCTGTTTCTGTTTTTTTGATATGGTGGAACCTCAAATCAAATGAATATAAGATTGAGGCATAAAAAATCTCATTCACACAAGTCTTGAAACATGCTTAATCAGGATTCAAAGAATTATACAAAGGAGAAAATATATCCAATAGGCTACCAGGATTTTTTAATTTTCACCTACAGGATTCTGGATAAATGAAGTTTGGGCAAATAAGCAGAGCTAGCATCCCACATAGCCTCTAATTTAGCTAATCAGCACATACAATCAGTGCCATTACAATTTTAGAAGTACTAAACATTGGGTTTTCAAAAAGCAAAATCCACGTGGTTCACCACACGATGCAACAAACATGATTTCCTTTAGGAAAGACCAGCCAGACCACAAATACTATACCATTCCAGTTACAGACAGACCCTAGAGTGGGAACAGGAAGGGATTCACTACTATAGATCTGTTCTGTCCAGTCTTCACGCCTCACATTCAGGACAGTGTCTGAGGTTTCAAGGACAGGTTAAAAATCACCCATCATGCATTAGGACATTTACACATTGTTGTGCGCAGGGGTGCACAAATCTTTCCTTAACTCTTCCCTCCACACATAGGAAGCAGCTCACAACCTCAAGGGGGGGGGGGGCGGTGTGCGCCTGACGG